GGAACAGGAAGTAGGGATATTGACGCCCTCAACTCTGTCTTTACAAAATCTCTATAGGTTGGCTGCATCCCTCTGCTAAAGGCCACAGCCACTTTCAGACAGCCCAGGCGATACAACTGGGTGCCTATAGCCACTCCCTCTCCTTGTTCCTCCAGGCCTAGAAGTGGTAACACCTCAATAATACTACTTCCAGGGTAATGCACTATCCCTTCCTGGTTTCTCTAACCCCTGTGGATGCTTTCGTAAGTAGCCCATTTATCAAACCCTCTACAGTTACCCAGTTTGAATGTGCCATCTGTGTCCAGGCAAGACCCTGACAGTCAAACAGGACATTAAATAATTTGACTAAGAAACTTAAATATTTTTATATTATCACAAGCATGGGTATATTAAAAAGCAAAATACAAAACATAAATGTATTGTTCTCTACTAAAGGGCATCTCTGTGGAAAATTTAAGGGAGTGTTGGCAAATGTAATTCTCCTTCCTTAGGGAAAATTTGTGATAACCAGAAGGCAACTAGAACGTTTGCATTGCCACTTCTTTTCTGGTCTTTGGCTCATAGTGAAAGAGGAAAAGGAAAGGAAAAAAATGAAAAGAATTTCATGGCAGCAATTCACCTTACAAAAGTGTTTTTAAATTATGCCTTGAGCTCAGAATACTTACTTTCCTTTTCTAAAAAAAAAAAATCTGGTATTCACATTTAAAATATTTTCCTTTTTACATTTCTACTCAGAAATGTAATTTTACAAAAAGGCATAAATGTGATCATATCGTACACATTTCGATTTTTGATGCAGTCTTTTTTTCCTTCTTTTCCCATTCAGCTTTGTTTCCCTCTCCCCATTTCTTGCCACCCCCCCCCGGCATATATTCCAGCATATACCCCCCTCCAAATAATCCATAATAGCAACTTAGTGTCTACTCAGTACATATTTTCTTCAAACTCATATTTTATACACACACTGCATATATATTGATCATTGTTTTAGAAAGAAGAGGTTATATTATACATGATTGTCTGCATCTTGCTTTTCTCATTCAGAAATACCATTCAGAAATATCCAAGGAAACTGGAATGCCTCTCATTCTTTTTTTTTTTTTTTTTTTTTTTTTTAAGCTGATGGCACAATATTCCATTGGATGGCTATATCATAATCTATTCAACCATTACCTATTGATGAGCATTTACTTTGATAACCATCTTCTGCCACTACAAGCAATGTGTGGTGTAGTGTATATGTGCGTGTGTTCATAATTGTTGTTCTTAATTTCTATGAGTTGGATGCCCTGAAAAGGGATGACTAGGTCAAGTGGCATGGATATTTTTAGTTTTAATAGATGCTGCCAGATTGTTTTGCAAAAAGCTGTAGTAGGTCAGATTTCATACAGCAATGAATGAGAGTTCCCTTTTCCCTGCATTCAATTATCAAAAAGAATTATATACTTTTAAGTTTTGTGCCTGTTTCTTGAGAAGTATCTTATTATTACCTTAATTTGCCTTTCCCTTTGCTAAGAGCATATTTTCAAGTGTTGTTAACCATCTGGATTGGCACTTTAGCCTACTTTTTCTATTGTTAGAGAAATTATATGTATAAAAGAGAAATATAGAAAGCTTAGGACATATAACTACAATTTTTAGATACTTATATTCAACCTACCTATTCTACAAAGAATATTGTTGAAACATATATACTGTAAGCTGATCTACATTTTTAAATGTTTTTCAGTTGTTCAATAAAAATATGGGCTCCTTTAAGAACATAGGTCAATAAATTATTTCCAAGAGTGACTTCTGAAATAATTGCCTCTTTAAATGTGTTGCCCATTTTTACATTGAATTAAAAGGTTTTGTAATGAAATATATTATGTATGTCTACTGTTGCTAATTTTTTCCAAATATATGGTTTTTTCTGTAAAAGTTATAGACAGTTTTTTAAAGTCAAATATACCCGAGCCCAGTTTTACTTAAAAAGGTCTAACTAACCCACCCCACCTGCTACATGTAGTTTCCTAGATTTTCTAACAGGATGTTTATTATTTTATTTTTAATATGTAAGAGTTTAACACATCTGAAATTTATTTGTCAGTACAATATATAAGGTCCAATATTATTTTCTCCCAGATGCACAGGCCAGTTAAGCCTACCCCATGTATGAAATAGTCCATCTTTCTCCCACACTCTCCCTTCTCTTCTTTCAGTGCTCCTTTCTCTCCCACAAATTCCTCTTTCAAACATTTCTCCATTTTCTCCCACGATTTTCTGTTTTTCCCACAGTTCTATGTCTCTCTCATAATCCTCTGTTCTCAAAATTCCCTCTCACATAATTCCTTGTTTCTCTTGCAATTCTCTATTCCCTCCTGCAATTACTGATAATTACTAAACTCTTATATACGTTGGAATCTTTTTCTGAACTCTCTATATTTTCCCATTAAACCATTTGTCTATTCTTAATCAATTACCATGTTAATTGGGCCTTATAATATTTTCCCTCATCTGGCAAAACATTGCCCTTTCTATTCTGATTCAAAAAAGAAAAAAACACCTTGATTCTTCTCAGACATTTAGTCTTCCACCTAAGAAATAAAGGATATTTTATTTAGTATTATAAAAACATACAAAAATCCACCTATTGGCATTCTAACTAGAATTAATTGAATCAATATATTAATTTAAAGAAAGTCAAGTTTTTATATTGTCTCCTCCAAGATGAGAAGTGTCTTTTTATTTGGTCGAATCTTGTTTCATGACCTTCAATTCACATTTATAAGCTTTTTATGGCAGTTCTGAATCTTTCTTATTAGCTTTCTCTTATGAATCTTGTGTGTTTTTTCCAATAATATAAATGGGATAAATTTTTTCGATTTCCTTTTGAGGCACTTATTGCTAGAAAAGAGAAAAATGATTGATTTTTAAAATATATATCTATTTATTTTCACATGAGTGAATTACAGGAGTACATTATGTAGAGAGCTAGGGAATAGCCCTCCAGGTGGAAGGAACATTAAGAGCACAGACATGCTTAATGAGGAGGGGACATGTTTAATGAGGCAATAAATAATAAAAAGATCGCCATGGCTGTAGGCAATGGGCAAGGGGAATAGTGGTATAAGGCACAGTCAGAGAAGTACTTGGGCAAGATTACATAGTGCCTTATGGGCTGCATTGGGTTATCTATTGCTATGTAACAAATTACCTCAAAATTAGCTACTTAGAACAACAATAAATATTTATTATTTCATAGTCTCTTTGGGTCAAAGATTTGTCAGTCATCTAGCTGAGAGGCTTGGGCTCCTGGTCTCTCTTGAGGTTGCCATCAAGATGTCAGCTAGTCATCTGAAGGTTTGACTGGGGCTGGATAACCCACTCCTAAGACAGTTTACTCACAAGAACACTGCAGACACTTTTTTATTTCGACCAATTCAATTAGTACTTAATGCCTGAAGTAAAACCCTAAAATGTGTGCACAGTCACCTTTCTCTGAATATATTTCCTTGGCTCCTATGCTAATTTCAAAAGACGTGTTTTGAATATGAACCCATCTAAATGTCAGACCCTGGCTACAAATGTTACAACCATGTACATTTCTAAAGCCTGTAAGTGTTCTCTTTTGGAAACACAATAGCATTTATGAGATCAAGAGGACAGTAAGAAAAGAATCATGAGTATTTTAAAGCAGGAAATATAAGGGGCCTTGAGATTTTGACAGAATCTCTTTGATGAAATACTGTGTGTAGCTCCTAGTCTATTGCAAACATAATAAAAAGCAATATCTCTCAGCATGGAGACTCTGTAACAGCTACCTACTTATAAAGAGAGTCCTCATGTAAATAAAACGGGAGCAGACTTGGTTGGAGAGAATTACTTTATCCTCAAAGAGCTTAGTCTCTCCTGTCAGAATTAGGTTACAAGTTTAGTCTTAGGCTATGACCCTACAAATTACATAAGTTGTTCCATATTTTTTTCTTTTCATTTTATTAAATTTATTCTCAAAGGAAATGGAGTTGCTTTCAATAGTCAGCTTCCTACGGACCTTCTCTTGGTCAAACCTGCTGGACCTGGCCACTAATAAAGAGCTCCAGACCCAAGAGGTAAAGGCAAACGCCAGGAACTACACGAATAGTGAGTGAATCAGTCAAAAGTCAGAGAGAAGGCAATGTCTCTGATGAACATTAACAAAATTCAAGAAAATATTCAGGATCTATCCAGCAGAACAGATGCCAAGAAAAAAAATGTATAAGTGCAATGAAAAGGATATCTAGAAATTCCCAATTGACTGCAGCTCTTATAATCATCCAATTTCTTTTCTCTATAATTCCACCCTTATCTGCTTGACCTTCTGATAAATAAGATGTTTCTAGGTATACCAGGAAGGGAGTACCTTGGAGAGAAGACTCTGTGGCTCAAGGCACTAGAAATGTCTACACTCTTGCATAAATTAATAAAAATTTCATCTGGTTCACAAACTGGACTCCTATAAATTTTATTTTATGGTTTGCTGGGACCTGATTGCTTCCTAGAGCAGGAGGAAATAAAGTGGCATGCTATTGTTTCTTTTCTCTCTCATTTTATATGCAAAAGGAAAATCAATACGTTAATGTTAAAAGCACTTAAAACTTTTTTAAAATCTTGATAAATATGGATGGAGAAGTCTGAAATGGGAAAAAGTCTCAATCGTAAGACACTGCTAAAGAAACAAAGTTTTATTTCATACATATATACAATAATCCAACCTGCTAACCAACTTTTATAAATATGAGATATGTTGAATTTACTTTATTTAGTAGATGATTCATGTCTAATTAGCCAAAACCATGTTATCACAAACAATTACACCAATGCGAGAGTTCCTCACCCTTAGTAAATTCCCTGATATTAAAGAGACATTTTCATCTGTATCTGTATGCTGTAAGTGGTACTCTCTCTGCTGCAACTGAATAAAACTCAAAATAAACTCATTCAAGCAGAAAGAGGAAGTTGGGATAAGGATTTCTCACAGATGTCCCTGACCTGGGTAGAGTTGCACCTGGTTTGGTGGTGCTTGTCTCATATCAGCCAGGGTAACTCCTTGTTTATCCCATCTAAGCTTTTGGTCTGTGTCCATACCTAGTTCATGCTCTGGACACATGGGAAGAAAAGATTTCCCAGAATCCAAAGCCAGAAATGTGACCAGCTGAGCCTCAGAAACCACTAGAATAAGAGACATAGTTGGTGAATTCTATCATACTTCTCTCTGCTCACTGGCTTTATCCTTCTCCCTTGCTGCAAACTGACTGTCTCCATGTGATGGAAAACATGGCTAACAATGACTTCAGAGCTTTACATCTTACTTTTTCAAGTATCTGATGACAGACTTTTTCTCCTTTTCTGTTCTAAAAGGTTGGGTTTAGACTTTGATTAAAATAACTTGGGTCAGGTAGGTGATCATTTACTGACCAATCATATGTAAAGGCCAAGAAGAAAGGACCCAAGGAGATTATATATATATATATATATATATATATATATATATATAGAGAGAGAGAGAGAGAGAGAGAGAGAGAGAGAGAGAGAGACATACGTACTATCTTGAGTTTACTTATTTTCTGGGGATAGATCCATAAATTTCTTCAAATTCTCTAGGGATCCTGACTTCAAAGTGTTTATGAACTACTGCCTTAGTATAACATATGTCTTTTAACATTCTCCCACACCAGGGCAAACAAACATATACTCCCTCTCAATATTCTATACTACATTATTACTTAAACTTTCTTAAGGCTTATATAAAATGAATACAATAAAACCCGCAAATTCTAAATGATTAAAATCAAATTAGCAACTTCATTATTCCAGAAAGACACATTTCATAGGCAATCCCTTGGCACTGTTTGACTGTTTTTTCTAGTGATGTATTATCAATTTACTCTAATGGGAGGCACCAGTCATATTAGAGGAGAATCATTGTTGTGCATGTGATCTTTGATTAAGGTTTGGCAATGATAGTTCCAAGATTTATACTAGTAAGAAATGGAGCATAAACCATTTTGGATTCAGAACCAAAACTCAGCTAGAGAAGCTCTTGCCTCTGTCCCTGATTACTCTTAATATATTTTATAGTTAAGGATTTCTCTCAATTCCTGAGCCTACTTCTGGAAACTACATCTACTCTCATGACCTCCTTATTCAGCTTTTATTATATAGTCCACAAAAAAGTATGTCTTATTGATAAACTTGGCACACACAGTTAATAAAATAGGTAGTTTTCTGTACTAACCTAAACTCATGTCTAAACAATGTTCAAGTTAGGGTAGATTATATTGTATATGACTATACCAGCTGTGAAGCATTATCTTATAATCCAGCTGTATTAGCCCAATTTAATGTCCTCAGAAACAGAGACAAAATTCTGATATTTTTCAAGTATATTGCTAAGGAATCAGTAGATATGGAAGAAACCTCCTTTTTCACCAAATATTCAAGTCAATTTGCTAAAAGATTATTTATTTGTGATTGGTAATACCTGTTATATTATAACTAAAGTCTATGGGAAAATAAGAATCAGGTTACAAACTGTTTTGATAGATGTGTATCCTTAAATAGGCAACATGGAATAGGAAAGAGATCTGAAGTGAATTGGATTTTAGACCTGTTTTAACCTCCATTCTACTTTCATGACCTGGTTATATATTTTAACCTCTTTGGTCATCAGCTGTCAATGAGAGTGGTTACCTCCAACTGAGCCATCTTTCAGCTGTAACATCCTAAAATCTTATTTCTATCTATAGTTATATTAGATCTGGTAGGAAATAACAAGGATCCAATATAACTGTGGTTAAAACAAGGTAAAAATTTATTTCTCTCTCACAAAAAAATTGAGAAGCAAGCAATACAGGGATGGTATAGCAGCATTACTTCACAAAGTCCTTAAGAACCCAAGTTCCTTACAACCCTAGGATAAGGCCCTCATCCTTGTGATCTGAAATAGTGACCAGAGCTCCAGGCACCATAATTGTGCCTTAGGCAGCAAGGTGAAAAGGGGGGAAATAGGGTAGGAGGCAAAAAGCACACACCGGCCATTTTTTTCCTCTTTAAACTTATCTTTATTGTTGAATGTCTCACAAATGTCCCCCATTTTTCCCCCATCAACCCCCTCCTCCCCATTTCTGCCACCCTCCTGCCTTCCCCACACTATTGTCTATGTCCATTGGTTATATATGCATATAAGTTCTTTGGTTTATCTCTGCCCATCCCACCTTCCCCCGTCCCTTTGAGGTTCCTCAGTCTAATAACCAATTTGTACTTCTTAATTCCTTCAACTTTTTCACCCATCACCCCAACCCCTCCCATTTGGCAACCAACAAAAAGTTCTCTGTATCTATGAGTCTGTTTCTGTTCTGCTTGTTCATTTTGTTTGTAGGTTCAATTGTTGGTAGATACGTATTTATTGTCATTTTATTGTTCATATTTTTGTTCTTCTTCTTCAAGAAGACCCTTCAACATTTCATATAATACTGGTTTGGTGGTGATAAACTCCTTTAGCTTTTTCTTATCTGGAAAACTCTTTATATCCATCAATTCTAAATGATAGCTTTGTAGGATAGAGTAATCTAGGTTGCAGGTTGTTGCTTTTCACCACTTTAAATATCTCTTGCCACTCCTTTCTGGCCTGCAAAGTTTCTTTTGAGAAATTGGCTGACAGTCTTATGGGAGCTCCTTTGTAGGTAATGAACTGTTTTTCTCTTGCTGCTTTTAAGATTCTCTCTGTGTCTTTAACTTTTTGCATTTTGATGATGATGTGTTTTGGTATGGACCTCTTTGGGTTCACCTTATTTGGGACTCTCTGTGCTTCCTGGACTTGTATGTCTGTTTCCTTCACCAAGTTAGGGAAGTTTTCTGTCATTATTTTTTCAAATAGGTTTTCAATGTCTTGCACGCTCTCTTCTCCTTCTGGCACCCCCATGATGTGAATGTTGGTACACTTAAGTTGTCCCAGAAGCTCCTTACACTATCCTCATTTTTTTGGATTCTTTGTTCTGTGGTTTTTGCTTCCTTATATTCCAAATCAATGGTTTGCTTCTTGGCTTCACCTACTCTACTATTGATTCCCTGTAAATTATTCTTTATTTCAGTTGTGCATCCTTCATTTCTGACTGGTCCTTTTTTATGCTTTTGAGGTCCTCACTAAGTTCCTTGAAATTCTCACTAAGTTTATTGAGCATCCTTATAAACAGTGTTTTGAGTTCTGCATCTGTGAGATTGCTCATCTCCATTTTGTTTAGTTCTTTTCCTGGAGTTTTGTTCTTTTCTTTCATTTGGGACATGTTTTTTTGTCTCCTCATTTTAGCTGCCTCCCTGTGTTTGTTTCTATGTATTAGGTAGAGTTGCTGTGTCTCCTAGGATTCATAGGGTGGCCTATTGTAGTAGGTGTCCAATAGGGTCCAGTGGCACAGCCTCCCTGACCACCCCAGCTGGGCCCCCAAGGTGCACCTCTCCTAAGGATTGTCAACCCTTCTGTTATAATTGAGTCTTGATTGCTGTTGATCGTCAACGGGAAGGATTTACTCAGACTGATCAGCTACAAGGACTGGCTGTGTCCACTGACCACTGACCTCTGACTACCTTGAAAAATCGGCTGTTCAGGGACCACTACACAGAGCAAGACTTACTTCAGCAGGGCTCTGGTACCCACTGAGTCCACTTCTTGAGTGTGTGGCTTGTGGAGGTGGTTGGGTTGTGGTGCTTCGCCATTGTCTGAAGCTGTCCATTGGGTATACTGGCTCTGGAGCAAAGTCAGTCACTGCCTGTGTTCTACCCGGGGCCAGCAGGCATAAGCTACAAAGCTATCTGCTAATGGCTGCTTCTGGTGGTGGTCTTGGAGGTTCCCAGGCAAAGCCAAGCTGTGAACCAAGGCTGGCTGCTTCTAGTGCCAGGCCTGGGGCCAGTTAGCTAGAGGTATGGAGCTTATTGAGGCCAGATGCTGCTTGTTTGAGAGAATTTAGGAAAATCTGAAGCAGGAGCCAAGACAGGCCAATCCTATGGTAAAGCCACTGGAAACAGCTTGGGTGGGCCTGAAAGTTGGGTGGGGTAGGGCCTCAGGGAATTACAAGGGTGAGGCAAACAGTGTGAGCCAGGTTGCTGGAGTCCCAGATATGGCGGCCATCTGCCTGCCTTGTGGGGGAAGGGATCACCAAAGGAACAATGGCCTCCCCCAGCATATCTGTCTGAGAGAAAGCTGCCTCTCCCAGATGCCAAACAACTCAGTTCTTCCCTGTATGTCTCTAGTGACTTTCAAGCTGCCTTCCCCATGCTGGAACCTGGAGGGAGGGAGTCCAAGTAAGTCTGTGCTCGGGCCCTTTAAGAGGAACTGCCTGGACTCTAGAAGCCTCAGCCTCTCTCAGCCTCAATTCTCGCTGGTTTTTACAGCCAGAAGTTATGGAGACTTCTCTTCTTGGCACTGAAACCCTGAGCTGGGGAGCCTGGCGTGGAATAGGGACCCTTCATTCCTCAGAGAGTACCTTTACAGCTGAGGTTTCCCTCCTGATTTTTATCCTTCACACATGGGTGTGGGACCAGCCTGTCTGCACATCCACTCTTCTTACCAGTCTCAATGTGGCTTCTTCTTTAATTTTGTAGTTGTAGGACATCCATTCAGCTCGATTTCAGGTGGTTTTGAATCATACCGGCCATCTTTTAAGGAAGATTCTGGGAAACTGCCACGCACCATTTCTGCTAATTTTCCTTTGGTCACACTAAGTTGCAAGGGAAACTGGGAGATATAGTCTTCATTTTGGGTGGCCACATTTCCAACTACAGATGGAGAGTGGTTATTGGGGAACACCTTGCAGTATCAGTCACATACATCATCTAAAAAAGTCAACACTTTTAAAAGATCAACAGGAAATCTCACTCAATATTTAGCAATAGAGTTATCTATTTCCATAGGATTTAAGACCTTTTCTATTTCAATTTCCTTTTAAAATTTTTTTTCTTTATTGATTTTATAAAGAGAGGAGGGGCGAGGGAGAGAGAGCTAGAAACATCAATGAGAGAGAACATTGATTGGCCGCTTCCTGCATGCCCCCCACTGGGGATTTGGCCCACAACCTGGGCATGTGTCCTGACCAGGAACCGAACTGGTGACCTCCTGG